GATGACAATAATGGCTGTGAGAGTGACAGCGACAGCACCAATGAGGGAACTTGTCTGGAGGCCATGACACCTTACGGGCATGACTACTACCTGAGGTTGGGCGACACCCCTCGAAGGCGCTCTGCCCTGCGCCTCTCCCGCATCATTGCCCGCCAGCAGCTGCTACGGAGGCTGGCACAAGGTAGAAATAGAGAGTTATGGCAAAGTGATAACGTGTCCATCACCTGTGTCATGTACGATGTCTGAATTTGACCTGATTTGTTTGATGTTCTCTCATGAAAAAAGGAAGGAAGTATGTCCGTTTAATTAAGTGATGTACTTTTTTTCACATTTCTTGTATGTTTCCCTTCCTATTAGCTGTTTTTACAAGTGGGAGATGGAACATGAATAGATTAGACACTGCCATGTCTAGTGTTTGAAGCCTACATAGTGAGAATTCCCCGTTAGTTTTTATTTCTCGTGTGGATGAACTCATGAAACTCCTCATCTGTTTGTTCATTCAGAGGTAGAGAGGAGAGCTGGGTGCAGATTCAAACAATGTACGCTTTGATGAAGACAGTGTGTCGCTTTTAAAACAGAAAGGGATTCTGAATTCAAGCCTTTTCATTTCGAGTTTCTGTCTTTGTCATTGAGGGATTTTTACATTTTTGACCTATTTCACAGATTAAGTAACCCATCTATCTTCTGTTTCATCATGCTTTTTGAGTATGCTTTATTGGCGAGGGCTTACAGGTTGCCATTGCTCCCCCACATTTCTGTTTTTAATCAGTTGGACATATGGAGCCACTTCTCCTCCGAAGATGTCTTTCATGAATCTGAAAGAAGTCATAACAAACCCTAAAGGACTGTAGTGTTATTGTTTTCTGTCCTTCCTACCCAACTCGTCAGCTATGTATTCCATGGTAACTTCCTCAACTTCCTGTCACATGACTCGTGTTTCCCAGGGAGTAAACATCCCGGTGTTCAGAAAGAGGCTTTGGACTGTTGCAGCATCTATTCTTACGTGTGCTGAGTTCATTGTAGTAAAAGAGTTAACTGTCCTCTGTATCCTGAGGTTTTTTTTGTTGTGTTGTTTTGTAGATAATGTTCTAATATACTGTACCATGGCACGTGGCTCTGGTTGAATGACGGAGCAGAGGCCTGTCAGGTCTTGTGTTAGTTGTTGTTTTATCCCGTGCTGATGAATTTTTCTGTGCGAGCCAAATCTTGTATGAAGCATCCAAAAAGACTGATAATAGATAGAGACATGACAGCTGTGGTGGGTGAGGAATGTGAGATGGAGAAGCAAGTTTATGCCTGTGCTGGTTTTGAGTGATGGTATGACTTATTTAACTTAATACTGCTTGCTGTGGCACTACTGTCATCATGTCTTTCACATACACACACACACACACACACACACACTAGTTGGCTTCCACTTTTCAGCAGCTGGTAAAGTGTCAGACAGACGTAAATAAAAAAGAACTGTGACCTCACCAAACCTACATCTGAAAGAAATCGTTTATAATAATAGAATAGTTAATTTATACATAGCCTATATAAAGATATAATCAATCGTTTTTATAATAACAATGGATCAAATATCTATTTTTAACACAAGATGGGTTTCCATCCAGCTCTTTTTAAGCACATTTAAAATTTGCACATAAAAAATCTTGAAATATTGTCAAAAGGAGTTTGGTTTAGTGGTACCTGACTGGGAAATTAGCATCATCGGCTAATCATCACATAATGGTGGATGGGAATGCGCATTCATTTGCATTTTCTCTTTCCAATTTTCTTGAAATTCAGTTCAAATTTGCACTACATTCAGATGAGAACCCAGCTACTGTTAGGTAGTGTTTCATATTGTAAATTACCTTCTCAGCACCAAGTGACACATGGACAAAGTTAGCGACTATATGAGCCATAACAGCTGCTAAAAAGCCAGATATTTCCATCCAGCTCCCAGGAGTTGGTAGAGACCAAAATCAGAGCTAAAAAAGAGTGAATTTCTCACTTCATGGGATGTGTAAATAGACAATTGTTTGCTAACAAATTCACCTTGTCGACTTAAAAGGTGAGAATATTTTAATCTTGTGTTCACAGCTGGTTTTTGCTGCCTCCAAGTGGCGAAAAAAGCAGTAATACAAAATCCAATACAAAAGCAATACTAAATCCAAACAGGTTTCACTATACAGTTTGTTGACACTGGCAAAGTGACAGTATATCAGTATACTCAGAACAGTAAGAATGCAAAAAAACAGCCTGATTTTTGAGCATGCTTTTAATGGACACTCTTCTCCCACAAACCCAATAAACAAAGGAAATGGAGAAGCTGTTTACTGCTGGAAAATTAAAGCAAATTGTGGATGGTGGTAAAGCTGTTTTGTGAACATCCCACAAAAGTTTCATTGATAGTGACGCTTCAAAGTACAGTTTTGTTGACATGCATCTGCCCCATTTATTCCAATTTTCCCTAAAATTTTGTTGCCTGTCTGTATTTTCTTTTAAAGAACTCAATGATGACTGCTTCTAGAGCAACTCTCATTGAGTACAAGTTAATCTATCACTCACTATAATACTCACCACAACTACTGTTACTGTGCCAAACCATAAGGTTGTACTGACTCTCAATCTAAGCTGAGCACTAAACTGTATCTATTTTAGCCAGTTTACAATAAATAAAAAAGTATACATCCCCTTCATGTAAGCACAGCCTTCATAATTTGACAGGAGTCTAAATGCATTGCTTTGGCATTGCTTTAACACCCTCTGGTGGAGAAAATGTAGCATAGCCAAATACACACTTGATCACCTACAGTCTTCCTGTCTCATCCTATCCCACCCTATTAATCCAATCTGTTAACACTCACCATAACCTGGGTACTGTAAATAATCATGGTCAACTGTTAACTTACATCAGTCCTGTTGTTTATCAGATTGCATATCCAGGTGCTGTCTAACCTCTGCAGTCCTCAGTCAGTGATGCACAAGAGACTCCTTGTGCCTGAACCTGCACACATTTCATGCCAGCGTTGACTCTGTTTTACAGTGCATTCTTGAGGGCTTGACATCATCACAGATGAACCATATGGGACGGGACAGACGTATTCCTCTTTGACGTCCCTCCCTCCCTCCCTTCCTTCCTCCCTCTCTCCCATCACTCCCTCTCTGCCTTCTTTGCTACTTTTTTTTCTTTGTGACCTTTAAACACGAAGGACTAAGTGCTTTAGCGTATGTGGGAATATGGCTGCTTTCCAGGGATCCTGTGTGTATGTGTGTGTGTATG